TCCATCCATTCAGTCATCTTACGTTGAGTTTTAAGATACAAAGAATACTTTTATTTGGATCCTTGCTAATGAACGTACAAGCTTTATTTGACCAGAAACTCTGCCTAATCTGGGATTCTAACCATAACCTGAATTCCACTTCAGATTTTCCTGCTTGAGATGGTTAAGCCATTTTCCTCCAAAGTATTGCACTACAACTTATTCAGTTCTCAGCTGAAGAATTATAGAACAAGCAAATCTGGATGGGTCAGCAGGAATCAGAAAAATCAGTACCAATAGTTCTATTTTATAAGTAAATTTTATAATATTACTAAATTACAGATTTTATGTCCAATTCACAAGAATTATTATTATTGATAGTAGCTTCACATTCTTTACATCCCTATCCTGAACTTAACATTGTCCTAGTCTAGTCCTCAGGCAATTTTGTCTCTTACAATGTCTATAGCACCTAAACTATATTTTTTTGGCTTTAGATAAATATTGAATGATACCAAAACAAGACCACTGCTTCACCTGAACCAATTCCTTCTCTAAACGACTATCTTTCAAAGAGATCAATAGTTAACTAAGATGTCAAGAATTGTGCTAGACCTAAATACGTCATAAAATACATATGACTTGAATAATATTTGCATTAGACAAGTATGTATAGAATTGTAACTGTTTATTATAATGGTATAAGATTCTTTTTTGGTCATATTTTGTCTTTTTTTTTATACCACTAGTATCTTTTCTTTGAAAATATGTATGTATGTATGTAACTCTGTATGTATATGCAGGTCTTGGCTAAACATTATATATATATATATATATATATATATATATATATATATATATATATGCTTGAGACTATTCACTGTTTTTGTTTTGTTCTTGTTATTAAATAAAATAATAATAAAAAATAATTGAACTAACATTTTAGTGTACATTAACTATGGTCCTTCATTAATACAACCATTAATATGTAAAGAAATGGAGGACTCACTGGTCTACCTAGAGATGGACAAGGCTGCTACATACTTGAGATTCCAAAATGTAGTGGAATCCAAAGAAGACCTGGTACAACTAATGGCGGGAATACTGGCTGGACTATTGGAAAAGGATAAAGATGACATCTTAAGGGAGTTGGATGAAGTTTACAGGATTAGCACTAATTATGCGAGACGCCATAAATACCCAAGAGAAGTCCATATACGATTTGCGAGGAGTGTCCGGGATATCATATATAGGATTTCAAGAGATGAAACAATCACGTATAAAGGTAAAGAGGTCTTGATTCTCAAACAAATACCAAGAAGAGTAAGAGAACAAAGACGAGACTACAAGTTCTTAGCAGCTTACCTAAATCAGAAAAGAATCGTATTTAAATGGCTAATCCCAGAGGGGATGTTAGTTTTTTGGAACGAAAGGAAAATTAAAATAGACTCCATGGAAAAGGCCCAGGAAATTTATGAGCGATTGGTAGGTCCGGAAGAGCAGAGCAGTAAGGAGGAACTGGAAACAAACTCCCAGGAAGATCAAGGCTATCATAAGAACAGAGATGGAACTTTAGGAAATCAAGGAAATACTCATCTACATCAGGAGAGAGAAGAAAGTGGGACACATCTTCAGGCACAAGGAGAGACTGGAGCCATTACAAGACAAAGAGCAAAACAGAATTCATTAAATGGAAGAAGAAAAGAAACTACTATCAATTAATATAAATGGTTTAAACCCGACGATAAAAAGGAAAAGGATAATAGCTAAACTAATCAAACAAAATGCTGATATAATATGCCTACAAGAAACTCATATAAAGAAAACAGATGAAAAATACCTAGAATGTCCAAAATTAGGGAAGCTATTTACCGCACCAGCAGACATGGGGAAAAAGAAAGGGATTGCAGTATATGTTAAAGAGGATTTGAAAGCAGATTTAATATGGTCGGATTCTGAGGGAAGAACTCTGGTTTTGCAGATCTGGATTAATGCCATCCCAATTCTCTTAGTGGTAATCTACGCCCCGAACGGAGATCAAAAAAAGTTTTTTAAGCATCTTTATGGAAAAATAGTAGGATTGGAAAAAAGAAATATTTGTATCATAGGAGACTTTAATTCTATTGCTGATTATCAAAAAGACCACAGTAATGGGGAGAAGAACAAAGGGGGGAAAAGAGAGCTTCCCAAAATATGTATGGAAATGATGGAGTTAAATTTAATTGATATATGGAGAAGATCACATCCCGAGAAAAAACAATTTACATTCTATTCAAATCCTCATCAAATATGGACACGAATTGATATGGCATGGATGAATGGGGAAATAGCAAATGAGATAAAAGGGATTGAAATTTTACCTAATGAATGGGCAGATCACAATCCAATTCAGATAATATGGAAGGGTAGAGAAAAACCCAAGAAAAGATTAACGTTAAATACTCAGTTAATAAGAGAAAAAGAATACACCAGCAAACTCAAGGTGGAATTAAATTATTTCTTAAAGAAAAATGATAATGGAGCAACTATGAAACAAAACATTTGGGATACAATGAAGGCAGTAATAAGAGGTATAACAATCTCTTATAACGCCAAGAGGAATAAGGAAAAATACGCCCAGCAAAACAAATTACAACAAAAAATTAAGGAATTAGAAACTCAATTACAGAGTACCCCAGAGGATTCAAAATAGCAAAATCAGATAATAACTAAACATAAACTGCATTTAATTGAACAAGAGAGAATGATTATAAATTTGAATACAACTAGACAAACTTATTTTGAGCATGCTAATAAGCCAGGGAGATGGCTATCATATAGACAAAAAAAGGAAAGGAAAGAGATTGATATACCAGCTAATAGATGGAAAGGGTGATATACAACAGGAGATAGAACAGAAAAAAGAAATTGCCCATAAGTATTTTGAAGAGTTATATAAAAAGGAAGAAGTTAACGAAGATAGAGCAAGAAACTATTTAGATGAAGTGAAGGATAAAGCAATTGGGGAAGAAATGGAAAAATTATTAAACAAATACAACCGTTACTATTAATAGTAAATTCAGAAGCTTGAAATTAGTTTAAAACTTGGCTGTCCTGATGAAAAGATTGCCTCTGAATTTTTAGTCAATGTGACTACCATTGTATATTGGCTGACCTGGAGAATACCAATTATAGCTGTACAAAAATGTTTTTGCACAGAAGCATATTTCTTTTCCTGCACTTATTACCTGTAGGAAGTCCCAACAGGCAGCCCTGTTCAGAATGACCTGGACCCATTTAGCAAGAGTGAGATAAGGCAGTGCTGCTGTGCCAAATTGTTTTTTAAAGTTTTTTGATGAATAATGTAGCTGATACCCACTCTGGGCTAGATGCCAGTGGACAGAATTGGTGTGCAAAGCAATATTTTGTATTGTTAGCTGGGATTTGTCTGAACTCGAGAAAAGGCTCGGATCCTGTGGTGCAAACTCTGCCACTTGTGCACCTTAAACTATGTCCTCAGTGCCTTCCTTGGACAGCCAGGCAGAGTGCGATTAGGAAAATTTCAAATGCTTGAGAGAACCATGGCATGGATCTTAAAAGAAGAGGTTGGATGTCTTCTCTGGAAGAAGCCCTATGTGGAACAGCGGTTTTTAACCATTTCTGCTTGGTGTCCAACTTTTCCTGATGGCTTAGCTAGATAATCCTAGAAGAAATGGGACAAAAATAGCATTGATTGCCCTGGTGGATAATCCTCATCCAGATCCTTGATGGGAAAGAGCACCTTATTACTTCTGTAAGATCCTTCTGTGGCATGTGATACTATTGGCTTCTGGTATCTTGCCAGGCTGCATACAAGGCTCAGGAGTCAGAAACACTGATTCAAGTTTCAGCTCCTGGGGTCATTCCTGTCAGTAATTATGGCAACACTTGATCCAGCTGTTGTTTCAATTCAAGGTACCAGGGAGTGCTCTTCCCCAACCTATTTATCATTGAAGACCCTGGGAGGACAGGCCAGAGCAAGGATGCCCTAGAAAGCTTGGCGCCTGGGTTCTGTCAGGGTTTGAACGGAGCAAAATTATGCTGGATTGAATCCAAAACCAAATTGTTTTTCAGCAATAAACATTCAGGAAGGTTGCCGGATAGGGCAGAATGGCAGTTACTAAAGGTGTTGGTTCATGATCTTGACTTGTAGGTACTGCTTGAGCAACAGGTAGAGGCTATGGGGCTTTTGCCAAGCTTTGTCTGGCATGCTAATTACAATTCTACCTGGCCATGTAACCCCTATTTCAATCAACACTGAATTGGAATGCTGTAAGTGCCTTCAGAGATTACCTAGAAGCTGCAGCTGGTCCAAAATGCAGTGGCTAAATTACCAACAGTACAATCCTGCCATAGTAAAATAACACTACTGCTAAAGTTGCTTCAAGGTTACCAGCTGGACTTCTAAAACACTGATTCAGAACTCTGTGGTATGTAGAAGCAGGTGTCATTTGTCACAATTGAATGTGTTCATCCTGCAAAAAGATGAGAATATTAAAGAGTTCTTCCAACTAGGTACAATGAGATAGACCTGGACCAGGCAGCAGGCTTTTTTCTGTTCTGTCCCTGTACTTTGGAACTCATTGCCTCTGGAAATGTTACCAGCCTCTTCGTTTGGGTATTTCACCCAGCTATTAAAACAATACTATTGCACTGTACTTTTAACAAGGGTTAGATTTTCTGATGGCCATCTAGGGCATTTCTTTGTTTAGTCTCTGTTGTGTGCTGCCCAAAGTCTAGATTGCAGCAGGATATAAAAAATATGAAACAAATAGCTTATCCCAAGTTAATCTACTGCAGCATTGATTTACAACTGTTATGTTGTGTTGTTACTTCTCCATGCAACCCAATAGTACAAAGTCACTTCTGCAGACTCCTCAGTTTTTCAAGTGTCCAAATATTTTGTAACAAAACCTGTCTTATGAAAATATTACAAAGTTAGATATATCAAGGGCCAAAGACACTGTGTGTCGGCAGGCTTGTAGCATTTGCTATTAGTAAATTTTTATTGATTCAAATCAGATCATGGGTAAACCTGTAACTAAAGAATATCCAAGTGTCTTTGACTTTTTCCATCCAATGCATGCTGTGTCGCTTCACTTCACATATACTGTCCTCAGCCTTTTTAAAGGCTAATTTCTAGGAAGGTGGCTGAGAAATAAAGATCAGCCATAATTACCTAGAATGTATTTCCTGAGCAAAGTTGTAGTGTTAAAGCATACTAGACTGGTATGCAAATGCAATCATTAACTCTTTGACTTCATGGAGCAAAAACATGCACTAGCTAATATTTTCTGACTACTTTTTTAATCTTTGGAAAACTATGATAGCCAAGAAGCAAAAAGGGTCAATCCATTTCACTTTAAAAGAGGCAGAGATTTTTATATAATAACGACCAAATGGAAGTATTAATAACATGGTATACACACGATTTATCCTTTTAAAAGAAGCACAACATAAAAATCAGTAATAAAATTAAATTGAACCTAAAGAAGCCAAATTTGTTTCTCTTTACTTTAAATATGTTCAGACTCACTTCAAAAATATACCTGGAGGAAGATAAAAATTAGTGAAGTATTGTTATGATTTGCCACTTACATAATCAAATAGTAAATTTCCATTCAGATAATTATGCAAAAGCGTGTACAGCATAAATTACAGCTATGAGGTAGTGATTATATGTGCAATATGCACATACACCAAGTACAAATGAAGGAAAACTCTTTAAACAGTTTCAAGTCCCAGTTCAGAAACTACATGCGCTATGTGCTGCCCATAGAGTTCTGTACATGCCTAGCGCTCATCACATAGAAAGCAGTGTCACTTTGTTCCATGTTTACAGAGTACCGGTCTCAATGTGGGGATTATGTACACACAACCCAAGTGCTGGATATAAGTACCCAATTCCATCCACCAAGTTTTTGCACACACACTTCCTGATCCAGCAGGTTACATGCCTGCACTTCTAGAATCATCATTCTATTGAGGTGGTGCTGAACTTATTCGTGCCAAATTGCTGGTGTCTGTTTGATAACTACTGGCTTGCAAAAATTACAAATTGTTCTCCATGTTGTGAAATAAATACGTATGCAAGATGCCCATGTTTTGATATGTATTTTTATTTCCCTGCAGTTTTCACTTATCAAGAACAAGTAACAGGGAAAGTTGTCTGAACTAGTGCATAAACAAACATTCTGAAACACCACTACACGTATCTAATTTACAAGAACCGTATAAAAAAAGTCACTAAAACACTACACTACGAAGGTGTCCAACGCTTACAGTCAGACTTTTTCCAACCCGTTACTTGCCTTGTAGCCACAGGAAAACTTTCCAAAATTGAAAGACAATCTGCCATGACCCTCCCCCCTCCCCCATTACCTGGGATGGCTCGATATCTAGACATCCAATAATTATTGCAATGATATATAATGCAATACATACCTGGTAAAATATCATTTATGTGGTGTGTTACAGTTAAAAGCCGGTTAAATTATGCAGACTTCAGATAAAATATAATCAGTTGAAAATTTTCTTCATATCTGCACAGTTTAATATGTGCTAGATGCATAATTTGTACTAGTCAGGTTTTCTGTGTAATTATTTTTTATAAATTGGTATTATAAATAGAAATATACATTCAAAATATATGGAAAAGTGGGTTACTACATTAAATTTGCATGTATCGATCCATCCCTTTCCCCTGCACAGTAATAGAAAATACTATTTTGCCTTGAACTTCATATTTGACAGTGAAATGCCACTAAAGTATTTACCAAAAAGTCCATCTAAAATTGTGAAACAAAATGAACCAAGTGAAAACTTTACATTTCCTTTAGAAAAAAATTACAAGAATTTTTCCTAGCTATGAATCTTTAACTTTTTTTAGACACAAAGTTGGATTTATTTTTTACAAGATACAAAATGTAAACATGGCAAAATAAATAGTTAAAACAAGTGATGCAGGATCCCATTTCATGCTCATGATCCCATTTAAAGAATTATTTTTAAATCCATTCAGTTGCAAATTCAAGTGCAAAAGCATGATGATGAATATCTACTATTCAAGTAACAGAAATAATATTGATGATACAAATAAACTATTTTACAAGGTAGTGATTTTCCCAATTTTACAAAATGTACATTATATATCGACTTAATATACGATATGATAGTCCGTTTAGGTCCATTTTAATCCCCTGTGATCCACAGAGTTTTGTTTTGCATTCAGCTGGAATATAAATGACACCATCAGCACACATTGAGCTACTGTGTTAGGTTATGTCACCTCCATTGCTACTGTAGTCTCTGCTATTCCATTCAAACCCAATCTTTCGGGTTCGTGGTTCTCTCTGAAAGTGAAAAGAGAAGGGCAAATAAATATATAATTATAATAATGAGCTATGTAGTATAATTTCTTAATATCTGACATTTTGTTAACTTGGCATCTCTCATTTATTATATGAGAAATGTTAACACAACAAAACTAAAACTTTACTAGGAAGAAAATGACAATTTATGCAATATTTCTCAAATGGCAAATAATTTCTCTCAGAACATATGAAATGGGAATAAAAATAAAAAAAAACCAGAGAATCTTAATTTGCATTAGAAGGATAAAACAATGTATAAATATAGAAATATAGGATTTATACATTGTTATACATAATCTATAGGATTTTAGATTTTTCTTGAAATTTATAATATAAAATAATTGGCTGAATTAGCCTTCCACTTATGAGGGTAGATCATAAGCAGACTTTTTTTCAACAACATACACAAATCAAATATCATTACTTAATTCAGCCTTTCCTGGGTTAGGATTCGATGGTAAATCCACTTTTGTTTTTTTTTTAAAAAAAAAGGAGAAAAAGACATCACAAAAGCTTGAGCTTGCTTCATTCATATCCAAAAGACACACACCTTGCTATGCTGCTGATGGCACTGCTTGGAGTCACCTTTGGCACTCTATCCATACTGGCAGCAACTGTGGCAAGTTTTAAGGCGGTTGGCGATGGTGCTGAAGTCCTTGCATTGATATGTACATTGACTGGAGAAACAACACTGACATTGTTGAGGTGCACTGCATTGGTGAGACAAGAATTGTTCATCGGAAGTGTTTGAGAGCTGTTTGTGCACAATGCTGGGATTAAATGGTTTGTGGTGGTGTGACCAACTGTCCTTACAAGTTGTACAGCTGAGATCCCTGGGCTAGATGACAGAGCCATATTGGTGGAATACAGAGTTTTTGATGTTGCTGTTCAAAACAAAACAGATGTACTCAATAGGTTTCAAGTAAAATAAAATACATGAAATAAAACCAAGACCACCATCCCATCTTAATGTCTTCTGGCTAAGGCATATTCCATCAGTTGGGTTAAGAGTGATGTAAGTTATAAGGCAACACATATGGGGAGGGCACCAGGATGGAGCAAGCTATGAGCCATGGTGGCACAGTGGTTAAAATGCAATACCACAGGCTAAGTCACTGCTCACTCCAAGAGTTCGATCCTGACCGGCTGAAGGTTGACTCAGCCTTCCATCCTTCCGAGGTCGGTAACATGAGGACTCAGATTGTTGGGGGCAATATGCTGACTCTGTAAACCGCTTAGAACGGGGCTGTAAAGCACTGTAAAGCGGTATATAAGTCTAAGTGTTATTGCTACTGCTATGAAGCAATAATGAAAGTTCTACATCCAAACATTAGGACTTGTCTCTTAAATTCAAAGGCACAATGTAATTCTTTAAAGTATGTAAGAATTTGCAGATACATGACAATAGTTTTATTATTTTTATTAAATAACAAAAAGATCAAAATCTTCCATACTATGACTTAATTAAAAAAAATTCAATCATTACTGTCCTATCAAGCATTTTCTCAGACTTTCTCTTGCATATAAAATAAGAATTAGCAACATCTTGCTACAAACTAACATGAAAATAACGCAACGAAGAAAAACATACCTGTTGGCTGAACAACACCGTTGATATTGTGGCTGGCACTCTGTTCCTTTGTCACCTCACCCCGATTGGGAGCGGGTGCGCTCACCACTGCAGATGCAGCAAAATGGGCACTGGCCGAATCAAGCGTTTTTGACATGCAATCAGAAGTGCTTGAGCCCTGGAAAATTCACACAACAGTTTTCATAATTACAGACTATTTGTAAGATACAATCAAATTAACTCTTTTACAGTAAAAGAGATGTTCTCCTAATGACAGAATTGCTTCTAACTCTTAGACTGCAAGTATCTGTGTGGCTGCAGGAGAGGAAGGGGCTGGTTTGAGTGAACACATAGGCTTTCACTGGCTTCAGATTAGGTTCTGTCTACTAAAGAAGCTAAAGGTTTTTGCTTTCTATCTTTTACCTTTACCATTTTAAAAGTTGTGGTCCAGTGCTGAAATGTTAAAAGCACCTTTCTTTAAATGGAAATATCTCCACATCCCTTCCAAAGAGGATTAAATTTCATTTGTGTACATGGAAGAAACCCAAATAAGTATGAGACACTGAACAACACGCTATATTGCAACCACTAACAAATACAAAAATATCAAAACACTCAAAATAATGTCCATTGTGATCATATATTAGTAGCGTCATAATGTTCAAGGAAAGGCAATAATTCATACTATTAGACTATTTAAATAATGTTGAATCAACATTACAAAGAGGCTGGGGGGAAACTGATTAAGAAATGAATATCAAATTCTAAATATTAATAAATGAGTCACTGGGATTCTGCATTACATTACAAACTAGCAGATTTACTTCACCACAGGTTGTAGCCCAAGGAAGCTCATGCCTTAAAGAATAACACAGTGAATCTGCTATTCTTTAATGTGCCCTCATGATTGGTATTCTTTGCTGCCATCAGCTCAATATAGTACTCTTTGGAAGAATTGTAAAGTTAGTTGTATGAATTAGAAGAAAACAGATTTTTCTAAGAACAGATAAAGACAGACACACAAGCACTAACAGTATTGGTTTATAATCAACAATGAATATAGTATATGGGCTATAATTAATAGACAAACATGACTGTGGCAGTCCTTTTTTGTCCCAATCATAACTGCATTTATCTACTCTATTTTGGTCGCATATTAAGTATGTTAGAGACTGGTCTATTTGAGGTAGATATGAAGACAAAAAATGGAATTTTTTTTTTAAAAAAAGCAGTACTGGGTCTACATTGGTTTCTAGAATATAGGAGAAACAAGTAAAATAAAATACATGAAATAAAACCAAGACCACCATCCCATCTTAATGTCTTCTGGCTAAGGCATATTCCATCAGTTGGGTTAAGAGTGATGTAAGTTATAAGGCAACACATATGGGGAGGGCACCAGGATGGAGCAAGCTATGAGCCATGGTGGCACAGTGGTTAAAATGCAATACCACAGGCTAAGTCACTGCTCACAAACAATTTTCTAGAAAGGTATTTGTTACCTGTGCTTTTGGATATGTCTGTTGGGACTGATGCTGAGACTGCTGTTTCTGCTGGAGCTGAGCAAGTTGCTGCCTTTGCATTTGAACTAACTGCTGTTGATGTGTCTGAAATTGTTCTTCTGTAATACCCCCAGTTACTGTAGATAGAAAGGACAACATGCTTGAATTTAAGGTAAGTCACTGCATAAGTTCCATGGATTGGGAAATGAAGCAGTTTTTAAATAGCTGTATTACATAGCACAATGAATTTATGAAATGATCATTTTAAACTTTTAAACTAAGCTGTTCACTAATTTAATTAGTTAACTACTTCTTATAAATTGAATAGCTGATGGTGTCTGTAACAAAAATAATACATAGGTTAAGAAAAGCATTTGTAAAGTGTTATTTATTATTTAAAAAAACACCAAAAACAAAACCAGCAGTTTCAGCTGCATTTAATCATCATTCATTAACTGAGCTGTTATATCTGTAGTACTCCAAAACTCAATGATTTTTTTACTGTGATTTGAAAACTATGGATATATTTTAGATGTTCCTACTGCAGTATTTGCTAAAGTTACTAGGTTGGAGGCCACCAAAACTATAAGGGTAGTTTCAGCATGCAAATGTTTAATCAGACAAAAGATATGAAGTCCTTCACATTTCTTATCAATAGTCCTGTCTGTACATTTTATCTTCCTAAGCTTACAGTTAAGCACAGAGTTTATCTCTTGTACCGCCTGGCTTTTTCAGACCTTTTTCAGACCTCCCACCATTCAATATCATAGCCAGCGAATAGCAGTACTTTGTTAGTTCAAGGTTATCTGAATGTAGGCTCATGCTACTTCTAACTCCATTGAAATAGAGAATATGTTATAAGCAGGTCTATCACAAATAATGGGTATAAAAATCTAATGTGCTTTTTTTTTTTGTACCAATTATCTCAATGATTAAGCACCTGCCTAGTTAAGAAAATACCTACAACAAATGAATTTCTTAATACACATAGCAACTGCATCACAAGCAGAGATACAATTTAGCATATAAAGGAAATTGGGAAACTGTATCATTTGCTCTGTTTTTGTCTAACAGCTGATGGCTCATGAAAACTCCCACTAGTCTTGATTAGAATATTTCTGCATTCATTTCATTTTCACTCATACTATTCCAATTTAGTATTTTTTTTTAAAAAAAACCCACAAGTATAATAAGAGTTTGGAAATATTTTTTTGGGATGGTCAATTAAATTAGCTTGTGCAATCCAACTTAACTTAGCTTATTTAGAAACTGAAAGGCTTTGTTGGTCAGTTATGTCAATATAATTTTTTTATGAGAAACATATTATATTCCAGAAGTTACCACAGCTTTCTAAATAATTACTCAAATCAATGAAAATAAACTAGAACTGAGCCAATGAGGCTAAAACTGGTTCAAAAGCATTTATGGTTGCAGTTAAATTACTGTATATTTATACCTGTAATGTAGAAGACACAAAAACATTTTCAACTGTTTCAGTTCCATTTTGAGTTTTCAATTCCATTTATAATACCATAAATGTTTCAGATATTTTGCAACTCCAGGCCCTGTTTTGTTTCTTATAATTTTATGTAAGCATCAGGGGCAAAGAAAAGAGTTTGTAAAATTGTAAAATAGTTCATATTGTAAAAAAGGTTAAAACTACAATCAGAAAATTGATATAAATTGCTTTAACTTTCTCTATTGTAGGGTTAACAGTTGGCACTCTTTTAATAATTGGGATGCACATAATATTTTTAAGAAAGCAAGATGATCCAAACTGGTATACACATGGATAGGGTCAGGATTTTTTATATTTTTATTAGCTGGGAGAAGAATGTTCCAGGATTACTTAGCTGCAACTTGCACTGTATGACATTTTAGAATTTATACTGCAGTTTGTTAGTTACTTTAACTACAGGAGTTTCTAAAAAAGCTCCGGAGCTTCAGGCTGCTGATTCCTATAGTAAATATTTTATTTATATATTTATTTTACATGCTGCCCATCTCATAGTCACACAACTCTGGTCATCTCACCAATATTCGTTTCTCCAAAATCTATTAAATCTTTTGATTTGTAAAAAATGGGAATGGGAAAGTAATGTACACTCTTCACCCTGATAATGTTCCTTTGAAGGGAAGGATTTCAAGAAGAGCAGAGCAGGTGCAATTCAACTATATATCTTTGTTCAGATCTCTGCACAAGAATAAAAATGAAGAAAAAGGGCAAAGTGTCATTCCTCAACTTATGACTTCAGCTGACTCCAAAATTTATGTTGTTGAATAATTTAAGTGAGCCCCCCCCCCCCCACTTTACAACCTTTCTTGCCAGAGTCAAGTAAATCACTGCAGTTGATAAATCAGTAACCCGGCTGTTAAGTGAATCTGGCTTCCCCATTGACTTTGCTTTTGAGAAAGTCACAAAAGGTGATCCCATGACCCTGGGACACAGCAACGGTTATAAATATGAATCAGCTGCAAATCATCTGAATTTTGATTACATGATGATGGGGATGCTGCAAAGTTAGTTAACTGAAAAATGGTCATGAGTCACTTTTTTCAGTGCTGTTGTAACTTTGAACAGTCACTAAATGAACTGTTGTAAGTCAAGGACTATCTGTATATCCTTGCATTTCTATTACCGGTAGTCCTCGATTTACAACCACAATTTCTATTACAGGTAGCCCTTGACTTACAACCACAACTGAGCTCAAAAATTCTGTTGTTAAGACATTTATTAGGTTAATTTTGCCCCATTGTACGACCTTCCTTGCCAGAGTTGTTAAGTAAATCACTGTGGTTAAGATACTATCATGGTTGTTAAGTGAATCTGGCTTCCCCATTGACTGCTTGTCAGAAGACGCAAAAGTGATCACATGACCCTAACCCACTGCAACTGTCATAAATATGAGCCAGTTGCCAAGCCTGAAGAGAGATCTACAGTTCATCCTGAGGTTGAACATGATAATGTACGTAATACTTGAGACTACAAGTAGTCCTCGACCTACGATCATTTGTTTAACAACTGTTTGAAGTTATGACTGAGCTAAAAAAGAATGACTTATGACCAGACTTCTCATTTACTACTGCTGCAACATCCCCCGCAGTCCTATAATCAAAATTTAGTTGCTTAGTAATCAGCATGCAATTTATGACAGTTGCAGCATCCTGATGTCATGTGATTGCAAAGTCAAGGGGGAAGCCAGATTTGCTTTAATGATAGTGTGATTTGTTTAACGACCGTGGCAAAAGTTGTAAAAGCAGTCACAAATCATTTAACGCCTGCATCACTGCCCAATGAAAGTTCCAATCGTAGTCATGTCAAGATTTAATTATATGACCCAATTATAGTCGTATGCCAAGATTTAATTGTTTCATTCAGTTTATTGCTCTCTCCAATCATTTAAGCTTTCCTCTGCTTAAAAATCACCTCACATATGAAATCTAGAGAGCTACAGCTAGGTTTCCAAATGTAAAGATTTTTTTTTGACCTGTAGGGACAAAAGCAGGTAAAACTCTGCTTCCATTATTGATAAGGAGTCAAATGTATTTCAGCATGGACTGTTCCAACGATCTACAGAGGAGACCTGCTTCTCCTCAATAAAAACATATAAAACATCCAAGGGAAATCTAAAACATGATGCCATATTCAATATGCATACTGACAAACAAGACGTATTTTGTAGGTAACACAGAATTCAAGTCATATGTTGGGAATTACTTCCTAGATGTCTAGATGTCTCTTAATTCAAAATATTTGTCTTTTTCTCACTCATTAGGACAGCCGTGTACCAATCTGGAAGACGATGATTTACCTCTACTTTTAGAACACTACTGAGCCTTAAATCGCCTACCCACCCCACTTTTCAACCTCTCTCTGCAGGAAGGCTGGACCTATTGGATTGGATTGCCCCAGGCCACTAATGGACCTGATTGGAGTTCCAGAGGGAACTTGAGGTTATTCCAGAAAGCTTAATATTTAGTTCGGTTAAAGCCTTGGAGGCTGAACGGAATAATAAAGTGGCAACAACTTTAGACTGGATTGCGCCTGGGCGGCCTTTCTATGCCTAGATTGCTGGTGAAAGACAGGAAGTAAAGATGACCAAACACGAGCTAGAGCTGCTATTAAGGCCTACCTCATGGCGTTTAGGATGGTGAAACGTAATTATTTCTCCTCCCTTATTGCATCTGGTGATAGCCACCTAGTAGCACTGTTTCAGTGACTCAGTCCCGCCTTAAAGAGAATAAGTCTACCTAAAGAGGCATTTTGAAGAATATGCTGCACATCTGGCAGATAAAATCAGTCACATTTGCTTCATGTTGGACTCTAGCCTTAGAGCAGAATCTTGGAGACAATGGAGGCTACATCTTGCAAATCAATCTGGGAAGAGCTTGAGCCCAATGAACCCAGGGAAGAACCCAGGGCTCTCTCAGCTGCTAGTACGGCCACTTGTGTATTAGATGTTTGAATGTTGATTGACAGGGACTAGAAAACAAGCTTTTTTCTGCAGCAGTCCCTGCTTTATGGAACACCCTCCCTTCAGACATTAAAGTGGCCCCAATTCTGTTAGCCTTCCATAAAGCTTTGAAGACCTGGCTATGTTCTTGAGCATGGAGCACTACATACGCCAAGGGCCCCACCTCCTGGCTTTATTGTTAACGGGCCGAATATCTTGCTTGCTTGAATTAGATGTTTTAACGTTTTTTTATTGTTTTAATGGTTTTTGTTTTAAAATGCTTTAAAGATTTTAATTATGTCTCTTAATTGTGAGACACCCAGAGTTGTTTGCTCAGATAGACTATTATAGAGATTAGATAGATAGATAGATAGATAGATAGATAGAGAGAGATAGATAGATAGATAGATAATTCTCTCACACACAAATATACATCAGGATTAACAAAATCTATAGAGTGATCAACAATAGAATCCAAACAAGATGGCGTAACACTTATTTCTGAAAAAAGTGTCCATTGGTAGGGGACATCATGGACATTTCTGACTGTACAAAGCCATCCACAATTTGAAAGACAGATATATGTTAATGGCATTGCACTTAACTTCCAGTTGTAAATTCTGCTCTAAATTTTTTACGCTAACTTGTGGCACACTATCTCTCCACAACTATTTGGGGGTTTTTTTGTTTTTGTTTTGAAAGGATTAAGTTTTCATATTTACAAATGTTACTATTTTTGTTACCCCAAAATAATTAATGACATTTTGACTGTGGTGTAGAACAGGGTTGATGAGTTTTACAAGTAGTATCATTCAGTTCTATTAGTAATGATCACAACTCTATAGTTTGCAAAACCTATTTAATGTATTGTTTGGATACTAGATCACAGTTTAAAACACTACTGTTAACAGCCTCTCTTTTCAACAAGGAGCAAAAGATGTGTTTTTGGTATCAAATATAAAGTGCAAAAAGCATAAAATATCCGTAGCCCATTATTATTACTATTACTATTATTGTTGTTGTTGTTATTGTCTGTAGATTGCTTTCACGTTTTCTTCATTTTCATTACCAGGCTTAATAACACTAATGCATAGGGGAATGAAGTTTACTTAGTATGTGGTAGCTTATTTTACTAGCCTTGATTGAGGAACTCTTCTTTGACTACATTTTGGCTGGTTTTTTTTTTCTTTGATTGCTTTTGTTTGCATGATACTTACTTGGATGTTAGTTAATAGGTACATGATGAGGAAAATTGTGTTTAGGTTTGTTCACCCCTTTTCTTGACTTTTGGTTGCTTCCTTTCTTAAATGATTTGTAGGTGGAGCTTATCACAACAGGTCTATTAACAACTAGTTAATTGGCTATGAAAATGTATCTGTTAATGGCTCTCAACCATAGAGTAGATCTATTGAAATGAATGAGATTTAAGTTATAATTAATATGGATGACTTAAACTCAACTTAATTCTCCTTATTTATGTATATAACATAATTTCAATCTCTCATAAAATTTACTCTTGAAAATACAACACAAAATTATCTGTATATTTTTAGTAAGAACAATTGTGCTGTCAGAAGCAACAGATATCAACATAAGAATATCAATCCTTCAATTTGACAATTGGTATAAATTTCCGGACTGTTCCAAAAAGAGGTTTATATAAAGGCACCAAATCATTTCTGTTTACCATTCTCACAAAACACACAACGAGCAGTCAAGAAACAAATTGTTAAAATACCTATACTTAAAATAGTACTGAATTATAACCAAGTTCATATTTATGAATTATAAAACAGAGCACTATATGCTACAAAGCCCATTCTGGGGGAATCCTCTTCCATCTCCTCTAAGCTTATTTAAAAGGCAGGAGAGAAGAAGTCTAGCTAGATAACCCAAGCTCTGTTCTTAACAGTATTGCCAAAAGGTTATTCTTTATTATTTAGTTTTAATTTCAGCATTAAATCACCTTCGCTGAATTTGTATGAAGAAACTATATAAAGACTTAGAGTAGCCCACAGAAGTTGTTCCTTTCATCATAAAATGCAGGTACTCAACAGCCTTGAACACTGCAGGAGGGAGTAATTAATGCTACCAAACATTTTATAATTCTTTCTGAATAGCATTTTCAAGTTGGTGACCAATGGCTACAGAAATCTTAGATTCAATGAGTGAGCTTAGTCAAAAGTAATTCCTAACAGGTGACTGCATTCTGAATTTGTAATCTGTTCCATAATTTGGGAAAAATCAGTTACTGTCCATCATAAGTCTTATTTCACTCAGTGGAATGTTTGAGCAGATTGTTCTGTAAGGGTTTTATATTTTCAGGCTACAATAGTAATAGCTCTTACTTTTATACTTCCCCATGATGTTTTACAGTGCAAACTAGATTTTCACCAACACCATTCATTATACTTCATACTCCTCTATGCAACCCATCTTTGCTTCTACCACCTCCATAGGCTGTTTCAGATATAGCTCTTCTTTTGAGGAGCTCATCAACTCCATTTAGTTGCAACATTACTGGTCTTGCAGTTCAATTTTCATTCTCTTTTATCTGACTAAATCACTTCTTTCATACTGAACACACTCAGATCTGTATTTTATTCAGCACCATTCATACTTGATTAATTCTCTTGTTTTATTGCATACATTTCTTAAATATATCAAAGCTACTGTATTTAACTTACTTTTCTGTTTACTTAACCTATAGTAGAAAGAAGATTAATATAATAAACAGTGCAGTGGCTGAGTGGTTAGGACACCGGGCTTGTCAACCGTAAGGTTGACAGTTCAAGATCTAAGCACAATGTGACTGAGTTCCTGTTACTTGCCCCAGCTTCTGCCTACCTAGCAATTCGAAAACATGCAAATGCAAGTAGATACATAGATAGCACTTCAGTGGGAAGGTAACAATGTTCCGTGTGTTTCGGTGTATAATCACACTGTCCAGAAGAGTCTTTGGACAATGCTGGCTCTTTGGCTATGAATCAGAGATGGACACTATCCCCTGAAGTTGGACACATCTCTCAGGGAAAACCCTTACCTGTTTTTAAAACAAGTGATGTCTTAAGACTTAAGATATGAATGATATAGTAATAGGGGCTATTAGATAACTGTGCACAATTATTTAAGATTTACCGTAAATATTTGTTTTTTTCAAGCTTTCCATTTTTTTTCTAAGGGAAACATCTTAATGATTGAATTTTCTCTAATAATCCAGTTCACCATCTGTAAATTAATTTATTATCTTCAGTTTTAGCTGTTAATTATAGAATGGTATTAGAATAGATGAGTACCACCAGAATTCCTGGGAGTTGAGTGGTGTAAAAAATTAATAAAAATATTTTTTAAAACTATGTTTTTAAACTAGACTAGACTGAAAATGATAGTATCGCTAATTCAGTTTCAAATAACAGAAAATTGAAAGAAGGGAATGCAGACTTCTTGTAATTGAGCAGTATATAAGCATAGCAGTAGGTAAAACTGATTCCCATGAAAACATTACTAGAATTATACCTACGCTATATTTTAAAATTAAAGCTATTTTATATGACTAAGAGTACAACTCTGCATAGTAATAGTACTTTTTCTGAACCCCATTATTATAGCTATAACAGACAGCTAATGACCGACTTTTTAGCCAGGATTCATATAAAAAATTAAAAAGAAATTTATTTAAAGGTTAATATTGTAAATATTTGCCTACCTGAAATCCCATTCTTGCTGGTGTTCAATAAAGCTACAGAAGGTGCAGAAACTCTTTTATTATTCACAGCCTGCCCTGGTTTCCTTGAGGTACATTCTTCACTATCACTGTCCTGTACGTTTTGTAGCCTTGGTTGGAAACACTGCAGTCGACATGACCTGATATTGCTTAGTATTTCAGAAAGGGAAAGTTTATTTCCACAATGTTTATTGGAAGCATTGGTCCGTGAAAAATTAGAAGAAATGTCTATATTTTGGGAAGAGCTTGAACAACTATTTAGCATATCTGGATCAATCTGCTTCAGGACAGGATCATTTTCTGTGGCTATCCGGTCCATTAATACCCTGATTTTAAAAGAAATAAAAAATAAATGTTACGAACAACTTAAAATACAAAATACTTGCAATAAATATTCAACTGGAGGAAATATCTTATTTTACCTTCCACCTCTCCCAACTCGTCTTCTTGCAAATCCTATACATCTTCTTGGAACTGTAAGTGTTGTGAGACAATGTCTGTATCTTAGCTTATCCAATTCTGCCAGTTCTGAATTTTCATGAGAATAATTAGTTTGGTCCAAATGAGCCTAGAGAAAAATGAAGTGAAAACTGATTGATGACTGATTCATTTAAAAGAATTATGTAGCTGCCCATCTTAAGAAAAACAGTTCTGGGGGACTCCTAACAATAAAACCCAAAAAATAATAAAAGCAGAAAAACAAAAACTTGGTACCTCAGCTGTTCTCCTCTGATGCATTCAACAAAACCATCCTCCAAGCTCACCCTGGGAGGGGGGGGGTGTTCTATAAGGTAGGGTTCCTATGAAAAAGGCACACTTCTGATATCCCACTACAGGGCAATATTTAAGGGAAGGGACCTGGAGCTTGCCCACTCTGTCTGACCTGGTACAATGGACAGATATTCTCAGCGAGAGATGGTCCTGCAAATAATTTCACCCATGCCATTTAGGGCTGGAAAGGTGATAACCAGGATTTTGAATTGCACCTAGAAAGAGACTGACAACCAGTGCAGTCACAGAACAGTGATACAGATAGTCTTTGAATTACATCTGACTGTTTAATGACCAAAGTTATGACGGTCTCAGAAAGGATGTTTTACGGCCTATAAAACACTTCTGGCCATTGTAAGGCATCGCACTGCTCCCCCAAAATCACATGATACTGAACTGAGTGCTTGGCAACCTAGTCATACTTACAACTAGCTACCAAGTGCCCCACAATCATGCAATAGCCATTTGCAATCTTCTCTGCCGGCTTTCTCAGAAATTCAGAGGGGAAGCTGACAGGGAAAACTGCAAGCTGCTGCCGCCACCTACTGAGAAGACTCTCTCTTTTCTGGGAGCTGACAAAAAGAGCTGCCTGCCAGGAGTAATCTCAGTTCTGTGTGAATCTAAGATTTCCTCCCTACCCAGAATTGAGATTTCAAGCCTGAAGGATTTCCCCTCCCCCTTGTTCACTGCAGAGAAATCATTCATTGAAATAGAGTTAAAACCCTGACAATTTTTTCCCTTTTCCTGCAGTACAATGTAGATTATTCCCCCATCCTATAGAACCTCCCTGTCTCTCCCCAAGGCACCCCATGCTCCTTATCTGGGACACTGTCTACTTCATCCCAATCCAAGAATGGACACAGTATTTTTATAGGGAAAGAATGACTAGCTGCACTGATCCATTAACATTAGTATGGCTATTTATTTTATTTTATTAAATAAATTTATATAGCCGCCCAACTCACACACAGTGATTCTGAATGGCATACAGCATTAAACATTTAGTTTAAAATTCAACCTCTCCCTCCCCATGGTGGTGACAGCAGAATCAAATATGCCACTTGATTAGGTCCCAGTAGGGTCCTCAGGTCTGCTGACAAAACGGTGTCCTCAAGGCCTTGCAGAAAAGCAACAAGGTGGGAGGGCAATCTTATCTCTTGGGGAATTGGATTCCAAAGAAAGGGAGCCACCAAAGAGAAGGCCCTTTTCCTAGGTCCCATCCAATGTACCTTCTTGATAGTTGGAATCGGTTATGAAATGGAAATCTTTGCTAGATGGCAACAAATAAGTATGTGTATTACTAAGATTTAAGCCGTCGTTGGAATTTTAAGCACTTCAAATTTTATCTTTCACTTCCCTTCCATTTCTTAAAATGGACAGGAGTACTGGGGCTTCCTAGTCAGATACTTTGCTTGCTCATCAGACAAGCTTTCACTATTTTTATAAGAACATAGATAAGCAGATCATGGATTCAATTCAGAATGGAAGACTGCTTCCTCAATTCTAATTATGACAGCCAGAAGCACACTGTTGTTAATGGCAGGAGATATACTTCTAGAAATTAACTGGAAACTAGTTGAAACAACTGAAGTCACATCTGTGTCAGAATTCTAAATGCGTGACATTTAAGTCTAGAAGCAGACGAAACAAGTAAACACATATTGAAACTGAATTAAGACTTCAGAGCATCAATTATCAGATGTTGAGAGGAAAAAAAGCAGAAACAGCCACTGATACTGTACAAGCCAAGATATGATTCAATTACAGTCCTGTAATTCAATTAAGGCCATATCAATAATTAAAAGCAACTAGCAATTTTGTCCTCAAGTATACTGTATCTTGAAATACTTCAACAACATCTTCGGGTTCACAACTTGTCAAATTTAATAATACTACAGTTAACATGATCTGAAGCAATTTCATTCATAAATAGAAACCTTTCTAAAATACCTGCAGTAAAAAGGAAGTAGAGAAAGAAGGATAATTTTTTTAAAAAAAATCTAAAATATGCATTTTCTTCTGACCAAAAATTAATATTAAGGTTAAAAGTTAAAAAACTTTTAAAAAAACTTTTAAAAAGTAAAAATTCTTACAGCATAATATTGGCATCCTGCTCTTCTTCTGAATGCACAGGCTCCATCAGGATCATTTTCTTCTTCTGGCTCAGATATTGGTGAGGATACCTAGAAGCCAAATAAAACTAATTTAAAAACACAATTCATTTATCATTCCTGGCAAATATTTTCTTCCTCAGCTAAGCAACCCAAAATAGTTAAAACCAGGAAATGCACATTTAAAAGTGAAAATAAATTTCAACAGATGGCTTATGAAGAGGCTTCTTGATAATAGTTCGTATTACGTTCGGAGAGATCAAATGCCCAAAGATCCCAGTGAATTTTTAAAAACTCAGCTAGGTTTTAGTCATTTTCACAAACCTAATCTGTTCTTTGGATTCCAAATTACTGTTAACATACTGTATGGTATTTTATCACAATGTATCTTTAATCACAAATCTTTTTTTTTTATTTTAGAAAAAAAACAACCAAATTCATATTGCTTCCACCCCGCCCCCCTTTTCTGTCCAAATATAAATCAGGATTCTTCCACTTACATTTAAAAAAGATCTGCTTTATAATGTGGCTGACATGTATTACCTGGGGGAATTCATCTTCATCTGAACTGTGGAAGTCATATTGTTTGATATCACTTTTACTGATCACAGGCAAGGGCTCAGTAGTAGACTGCTGAGGACTTATTACACTCTCAAGTTTAGGCTTCTTTGGATACTTCTTCTTTTGACGGACAACATCAGACACTTCCTCTTTTAGAGATGAATGGTGAGCATGCTGTTTGTGTACAGTAAATTTTGGACAAAACCCCCCACATTGTTAATAATTACCTGATTTTCATGAGATAGTAAATAACTTTTTTCTCCAATCGCTGCCCCCAATTATATTTACAAAACTCTGGACAAGTAGCACGTAGAGCATATATTATTCAAAGATTTAGAAACATTTATTGCATTTATCTTGTATCATTTTAAACTAACTTGTACCATTTTAACTAACATTTTAAACCCTTAGTATTTCTAAAGAATTTGTGTCTAGTATGCATTGTTTCTCCCCGGTGAAAAACATAAGGTTTTCAAAAGGATCTTTCTCCTGTCTTCAAATTCAATTTAAAAACAGCTTAAGCAACATTACATTTTTAAGATTTTTACATGAGCTTAGCATGGAAAACAAGAATAGTTCAAATAAAGAGTGATAAGTGCCTACAATGTAATAACCACTAGATGTCATCAAAGTTAAAAAATAAAGATAAACATTTAAACAAATCTAATCTTTTAAAAAATATTTGGACTTTTTTTAAAAAAGCGTAATGTTATTTCCTACAAATAATGGAAGCCCAATCTCTAAAATCTCTGAAATAAATACATACAATTCCATTATTACGTGGATATGACTGTTTAATTTTGATAAAAAAAACAAATCATCAAATAATTAATATGTATTGAAAACTCTTTTGTGATCATAAAATTGTCACAAACCTAATATTTTAATGATTTTTAAAGAATCCTAATGATGCATTGCCTAAGAGATGTAGAAGTAATGCTAAATCAAAATACTGGTGTGAAAAATATAAGAGGCAATATTACTCTGTCAGAGTTGTGTTTAATATAGTGTGGACAATCTAAAGACTGCAAGCACCCAAAAGTATATTTTTGCAGCATCAAGATACTGGACTGCAAACAAAAACATGAAAACTTCATTGAAGCTTAATGCATATACCCTAACCCAGCACAAACATGCATCACTATCTGGAAATTATCTGTTCCATGACTTTACTGTTATTACCATCCCAGTATCTTTTAGAAAACTTTCCTACTCTTTCACTAACAACTCTACAAGTTTTGAGGAATAAGTAGATGCAATTAAGAAAAACTACTTAGCATAAAGTTGTGAAAATTCTGTATAATGGGTTATATATGCAAGCTGAAATATACTGCTATTTTTACAAGCATATCAGTGAGATTGGCATAAACAGTAGAAACTTTGCACTAGCATTAACAATACTGAATCTAATCCACATGTAATTGTTAATGCTCTAAATTAAAAAACGGACAGCTTCCCAGATCAATTAAAGTTGATTTCACATAGCTACCAGTAGCATCATATAACTGATTGTATTTATCTACTGTCTAATATACAGTATGCTCAATTTAATTTTTATTTTGCTTTGATGCCACTGATGGAAATAAACATAACAGGATAGGACAGAAGAATCGTTACTGTATGTTTGAACAGCCTCTAATACTTCCCACATTATTTAGCTAAAACATCCCTCTAATTAAGCAATAAATGTAACAACTAAAGTTAGTTACCTACCTTAACTTTACAGTCTTGAACTTTGTGGTGATTTCCATTATGAAGTGCTGCAGGGGTGGTGTTCATCTCTTTCTCAGTTGAATTCAGCTTAACTTCATTAAGTATTTCTCCTCCATAATCACCCAAATGATATCTTTTAAAAGAGTGAGAGAGCTTATAGATCAAGAATATAGCATAATAAATGAATCTTTTTTAAAAAAAATATTTTACAGAAATCCTACAAGATGTTCTGATCATCTTTTAAAATGCAGAAGAGCAGATGAAAAATATTTTGTTTGAGGTCATTTTACAACTGATGAAAGATGGAATAATGTTCTACACAACCTGCTGTATTTGTTAATTAAGGCAACTGCATATCACAGGTTAAATATACTACAGGTAGTCCTCAATTTACAACCATAATTGAGCCCAGAATTATGGTTATAAGTTGAGGTATCACGTGACTGGATTTAAAGTTATGATTTTTTTATTATTTTGTTAAGCGAATGCAGCGAATTACATGAATCCATTTCCCCCCAATGAGTGGGGATTTTTTTTGCCAGAAACCAGAAGTAAAAACCAGAATCTGACAAAAAAACATCGCAGAATTCTGCAACTGTCCATAAAGTCAAGCCAGTGGCTAAGACCTCAAAAGGTGATTAGGTGACCACAGGGTATAATAGGTGGCCACCAAAACTTTTGAGAACAGATCATAAGTCGCTCTCGGGAGATCCTTCATATTTTAATGATCATTAAGCAACTGGTCTTCAGTTGAGGACTATCTGTACTATTTGGAATGCAAGATGACCTTCCTTGATAAGAATGATTAACTCGAAAGTTTTACCTTTTCTCCACAACTTCTAATGTCAAATGTAGTAACTCTCGTTTTGTTTTCTCTCGTCTCTTAATCATCTCTAAAATTGTTATGGCTCTACTGAACTCTCGTCTTAGTTTCAGCATCTTCTCATAAGAGGCTTCATCATTTTTCCGATTCTGTTAGAAAGGAAGTATCTATATGAAAAACGTATCTTGAAGATGTAGTCAGTCTGAGTTTAAACTTTACTTTATACGGCTTTTAATAATATTGAATATTTGGAGGACTTAGAACATTAGAAGCAGAATTGTCATTCTTCACTGCAGCTTCTAGAACAACCAAAGTCTGCTCGAGAGCTAGAAAACCATGCGAAGGGAGGGAAGAATCACCAGAATTTAGGAGGATTATCCTGCCTAGGAGAGAAATATTCTCTTTGTGGAACACACTTTCGAATCCAATCTTTAATGAACAAATATGTTTAAAAAAGTGCCTGTCTGGTGAATTGAAATACTAAAGAATTATGTCTGTTTGTATTAATGTGTCTTTTTTCACAATCTCTATGGATTTTTATGCCATGTATATAGTATACTTGCTATTTGAGAAAGGATATTAATCTTTAAAATTCTGCTTTAAAATTAAAGCACCCCATGCATTCATACAAGGAATCATGCGTATCCAAATATCTCAAAAATCATAAAAATACAATAAATACACAGAGATATTTCAGTACTATAATGCAGTATCTCATGAGTTTCCACAATCTTACATTTGGGCAATTAAAGAAGTTGGCCTAGGTATGCCAACACCCATGGCTGTCACAATAAAGCCTTCTTATGTCACCTTCTCACAAATTCTATTCAACAAGAGCATATGTTAAACAGCCTACTGACGTTCTCTATGCATGTTCTTAAAATTCATATGTCTGTGCTTGTCAAATGTATATGCATGCAGTAATTTAACACATGCCTTAATGAATTCATTTGCCTTTCAAAGAAAAGGCAAAATAGTATTGCACCTTAAACTGTGGTTTGGATATAAAGTTGCCTACTGTCCATAAAACAAATGTTTTATGTGCAGTCTGATCCACCAGGAAAATATGAAGATAAATGTCCCACAATTAGGTAAAGGGACACTGAATTCTCATAGCAGCTCCCTACAAAAACCCACATATTGACAGCAGCAAATGATTTTCTGGGGAACATTGTGTTATTTATTTACTTTTATACAGGTTGCACATCTTTTAATAAGAGATAAGCTCTCAAAAGTAATAGTAACTTAGTGTGTAAGCAGCATTTTAAAAGCATACACAAAGCAACTATAACAACATGCAACTTTTCTGGGGGGAAATTGGCCACTAAATTCAGTAACCAGTTGCACCACATTTAGCAGAAATAAATTGCAACCAAATGCTTGCTTCAGTTTGTAGACAGTTTTTCGCATTGCTATGTAGACATTTGGCTCCATTCTTCAATAGAGACACATTGGAAAACCACTGAATTGAGAAAATTACCTTTCTGGTCTGCATTTTCTCAGTTCTCCTCCGAAAAGCCACATAGGGATCATTGTTGGTAGAACCATCTCTTTTCTCTTGTTTGATTTGGGGGATGAGAGATGGCCCTCGGCAGTTCTTACGTTTCCTTACCCAGTAGTCATAGACAGCCTTAATAAGATAATCATCCTCATTTAGCAGCAGCTTAGCTTCCTGAAGTGTTACAAGCTGAAAGAGATACAAAAATACATTTCTAAAACAATCACATCAGAGATTTTAGTAACTGTTCTTCACAATAATTCAAGATGTGAATTTTGTATGAAGAAATGTAGAATCAATACTGTACGTATATAAACACAGTTAACGTAATAGAGTTCTCCAAAATTTCTTCATGTACTCACAACTATTTTTTTCCATTATACTCTCTGGACACATCCAGAGAAATGTACTATGTCAACTGTGTTTATGTATGTGTAGCATATCATACATCCCTTGGATACATCCTCCACAGCTCTTGCATGGCAAATTTAAAAAAAACCACACACAGAGAGAAATTGGTCATATTTCTAGTAGCAAATACTACTGTAGTCAATGGAATGGCACAACTGAATTCAATATAATTACCCTCATCAACAAGTGTATAAATTATCAAGAACTAAAACCTAACTTGTCTACAATTTTAAATGTGCTTCAAATAACTGTAATTTTATCCAACAGCTTCTCAAGTATTTAAATTAAGGTATTTAATTTTCTCTATGTCAACGAAAGTTTTCAAGAGTTATTGCATATTTTTTATTTTATTCTTTTAGGAGCCTAGCAAGTACATTTGGATATTATATCATAAAAATGGTGCGTGTATGAATGCCTTAGAATTTATAGCAAATATGCTTCCAGCCTTCTACTCAATATGAGATCTGTCCTGAATTCTACACATACAAACCCTTCAGTGAATATTATTTCACTGTAAACACAGAATAGTCTGTAGTGTTCAGAGTATTTTAAAATCTACTTTTTAGCTAAATCATTTTGTCTTTTTGTTGAAGAAAAAACAAACTGGAAATGTCAATGCTTCATTTTATATAGGTGTGTTGTTGCATTTTTACAGTATTTAAACTGTTAGAACCCTTTTATTCATATGTAAAATGATTATAAAGACAATTACGATGCTCACAAATAGATTGTGTTCAAACGGAAATAAAAAAAACACTGAAAGAATGAAGTATTACGCTGTTGTGGAAATAAAAATAAATCTGCGGAAGAAATGGTCTCTATGAAGCTTTTCTGCTGTGGCAAAAATGGAAGAAACCCCCAATGTACCTGATCAACCTAAAATTAGTCCTTTCTAATTCCCATTACAATATATGAGATTTCAGTTACTTACAACCTATTTATATCACTGATTTAAATGGGACTTCAATGTAATTAACTTTAGATTGGAATTTACTCAGAAAACCTTTCAAACCAATTACCTAGCAATTTTTAGTCTTTCTTTCTAATAAGACTATCTTATCTATTCCCAAAGTCAGATTTCTGAGCTGATATGAATTATTACTCACATTCATCCTCCCTCAATAGTGTCTAAAGATGACTTGGTAATAAGGAGAATATTTCTTAGATAAATTTAATCTGCTTACTTTTGTTACCTTTTTTTTAGTTAAGTACCCAGACATTCTGGGTGGTCATGAATTCTGAAAGGTGACATTCTTACATGCAAAAATACATTGTATGAATTGGTTCTTAATTTCAAAATGGCAGATTCATTTATTTTAGGTATTTTAAGCCACAAGTTCTATTAAACAGTTCAAGACCCACCCCTGAAAAATTATAGGTTTTTTTTTTAACCGACATGCATTTGAGATCTATTGACCATCATAACCAATTCTTTAAAATGGAAAATTTAATGACATTTAATGGAAAATTCACTTCACAGTTGAAAGACCAGGCTTTCCACTTCGTAACAGCAATGTAGATTTTACTGTATCCTGCATTAAAATATTACATAAAATCTAACTCAATTCCTTTCTCTTTCTGATATGCGCTTTCAAAAGCAAATATATATTCCAGATATTTTGATTTTTTTTATTATGAACCAATAAACGTGTCAGGACTCCTTTGGTCTTTTTAGCTGCCAAAATGTTCTACTGGATTAAAGTAAATAACTTCCAATCCAAAGAGCGGAGACCTGTATCTATATTATAAAAGGCAATGGCAATATTAGTACAAATAAGCCAATCAATTCAGCACACTCCTTTCCCTTTCTTGCTACCTAGTCTCATTTTATATACTTACTACAACATAAGGATCCAGCTTTTCTTGATTTTGAAATCTTACCACTTGGCAATATCACTAAGCTGAGGATTTATGTGTCTAAAAGTTTCATGTTTTAAAGTAAAATAACAGCTAATAAAATATTTAGCTTCATAAAAGGTATGTGGGTCTTTTTCTACATCAACTTATTTAAAATAATTAACAGACACTGAATTTTGGAGTAATTCAAATAATTCAAAACAATTTGAATATAGAAGTTTGAGATTAAGTGTATGGTTTGTACTGGAGAAATGTACATGTATTAATCAAAGAAGAAAATAACAGGTAAAATAATGTTTCTCCAATACTTCAAATATAACATTTATGGAAATCATCACTTTCTCATTGCATTCACCATAGCTGTAACAGGAGCACAGCTATAGTAGCCTAAATCACTACCTGCCTAAAATCATCTTTTCTCCTTGCCTGAAATAGCTATTATGTGGTATAAGAAATAGCTCTCAAAGTGAAACAATTTCCACATACAAGTCAAGGCCTCTAAATATTATAGTAGAGATATACACAAAGTGGAAAAAGGGAAGAGGAGCAAAGAAAGGAAAACTCAGGCAAATGGATGCATACAAGTACTCCTTGAATGATTTATATATCATATTTCTTCTTAATTTCTTTATATAATATGAAGGATGTATATTTAGCATTTCTGGTAATAAGAAATAAGTCACGCATTGTAAATAAAGGCATCCATATTTAGCAAAACTAATTAAAAATCAATTTTATCTGCAACTGCTATAATGAAGAGTTGAGAGGGGGTGTTGAATTCTTGATACCTGATTAGAACTAGCTTTTTCAAGCCTGTCTATCATAATTTCAAATTGCAGTGGTTTGATTTCCATCTTCCGATTAAGCCTATTTAATAATGTTTCATCTTCTGAGTCCATATCATAATCAGGTTGTTCATTGTCCAAATTAAAGGCTGAAACACAGAGAAAAAATAGTTTAATTTAAAATGGCATGCTTAAATGGATATAAATATGCTAATGAACTATATGTGGCCGGGAGAGGGGGTGGTGGAATGGCTATCTAGTGCAGATATTGGAGACAAAAGATAGATTTTTATTACTGGTCAAGCCATTTCCTCGATTGCTGACAAGGAGTTAAGAAAGATGCCATGTGTCAGAGTCACAGAGCACCTTAACTGCAGAAAAATAGGTATTAGGCAACTATGGCAAAATAGTACCTTGATTAAAGAATGAATCATTAGGATTAATACAATGAAAATCAGATAGTTTGCAAAACATTTACAACAAACCAAGTTGTGAGATATTGGATCTTAATACCCAAAGTCAGTAGACTGTTATAAACACATTTTCAAGACAATAAAATAAATTACAACAGAGAATAGAGAAAATCATATCATAATTTTAACCATGACCCTTATAATGATCACTTTATTTATCACTTCTTTACTGGTATTTAGGAAAGGCTGATTTTAAAATTTTGTATTTATTATTGAATTTATATCCTATCTATTAAATTAAATGCCACCCATGTCATGGTTAAATAAATAAAGTTTTATCTGACTTCTATTTTTATAAAACTTAATATCAAACAGCAATGAAATCAATGCAACTAAAATAAAAATCAGAAAACAAAAATTATAATACTTTTCATTAATGAACAAAGGGTTTGGGAAGCACATACATTTTGGACTCTTTTTCTAAAGTTTGCGATATCTGAAAGCGAATACTTCTTGTGAAGTATATGCCATAGGCTGGACAACACTAGAGAACGATGCATCTGTGATGTGGCGTAGCAAGCTTCTACAATAGAGAAACCTGGCAAGTTTATTGTGTGATAGGCTATGATTTAAACTTAGAGCAAAGAGATGATATGCTATGCCTAGATGTTACTCACCCTATGCAGTGTTGAGATCCTGGGTTTACTTTTTTTTTTTTTTTTTTTAAGTAAGCCTGTTTTAAGTATTAAAATATTACTGGACAGAGTGCCAAATCATTAATTGTTTATGAACACTTTCACAACGTTTTTTCTTATTTACAAATAAAATATTACAACTTATTTCATGTTCCTTTTCCAATAAGAATTTCATGACCCTACTTTTACAATGGAAGTGGGGGATGGAGTCAAACAAGGCATCAAGGGAAAAAAACCCAGAAATTCTTGTTTGTTTCCCAAATTTCTATTTTTTTGCCCATGCATCTTTATATTTCTTCTTAGAATTACAAAAATGGGCTTTTGGTGGTCACGTGACCTACCCTTGTAGTCAGTTATGTGAATGACACAACAAAGATGTTTCAATTTTACAAAAAACATGCTATATCTTATTTCATTTATGTTAATAAGCCACAGGTTTTCTCCAACAGGTTTATATCACAACTAGCCTTTCACATCATATATGAACCTTTCACTTGTTTATAAATTCAGTGTTTTGCAATAAACTACTACTCAAACTAATCTTGAAGTTAGAAAAACAAAAAGAAAATAACACAAATCTACCCATTAGAAAAGCATTGTTAAGAGACACATAAATATCCAGAAAAATGTGCATTTCAAGCACTAACTGGTGTTTACTGGAATAATTTTGTAGAAAAACAGACTTGCCTTCTATCCGCCTCCACTCTAAATTAAAATTGTAATGGATGATTTTGGAGTAAAAATGCTAAAAGAAGTTTTCATGTAAAAATAAACTCAAAGAAACACCACAATTAACTTTCATAATCAGCAAAATATCTAGCTATTCTGATATCAAAAAATGACTATTTATGATTTTTCTTGGAAACACATAGTAAAGTTTTGATGAAAACTAAGCCAGCCAAGGCGTTCACTCTCTGCGAACGGTTTTGCGAGTCCAGATATGCTGTGAGAATCCAAAAAATTAACTCTGCTTGTTTGCTCTGAAGAGCTGTCATCCAAACATCTCTCTTGAGCTAAGACTGAGTCAAAACTGGGACACAGTCAAGAGAGGCACGGCTACAACTTGACAGGACCCAGTCTCCGGGCAGAAAGGCAGAGTTAACCCATTCTTTAGATTCTCTTGTCAGCACACTGGACAACTATTCATATATCTATCAATGAGAGGAATCCTCTGAAGTTACATTTTAATCACCACACTTACATTATTATAAAATCTATTTTTATCAAATTTTCTAAACATGCGTGCAGGTCCAAATACTGAAGAATGCAAATTATGTTGTTGAAGTAGTCAGTTTAAATCTCAGTATTTGCTTCCCCCATTTAAGAATTAAAATTTAGCTTTGGGCTTCCCATCTCTCCTAAATAAATAGTTAATAATGGCAAAAGTTATATGAGATAAGCAAGTCAAGAAAGACACTGTTTTTACACATCATTAATATGTGCACACAACACTCATATATTACCTGTTCATGGACCTTGATATTTTGAATTATTTTAAACAATAACACAAAACTAGGGCACAATTATGTAAAAGTGATAGCAGAACAGAAATGTCAACATTAAAACTAATTTTAAAGATAAAAGACCCGAAAGATATTCAGAAGTATTGAAAGGACAACAGACTAGAAGTCAAGTAAATTTTATTAAACAATTCCTACTTGCCTCATAACAAACCTGCAGAAAGACCTTAAGCACATCTTTTGGGATCAGGTCAGTATCAATAAGACAAACCAATTTTCTAAATATCAGAATTTAGAAATTTGATGTGTAAGTACTTTACTCCACAAAAATAAGAAAACAGATATGTTCCTTTACAACATGAATTTAATAATAACTTCCTTTTCTTCAAGACAAACACCCAAATTTCTCTCAAAATCCCTTCCTTCCCATTCTGTGATTTTGATAGGCAATTAAAACAAACAAACAAACAGTAGTTAATGCTGTACTTACGTTGAATATGAATGAACTGCTTTGGCTGTTTAAATTCTCCTTTGTACAGACGACTGTAATAGTTGACATTACTTTCTGCTTCAGGAACTGGAATAACCATATTCTCTTTCTTTTCTCTGAAGACTTGCTGTGCTGAGATTGCTCTTTGCAAATGGTGTTCCTAAAAAAAAAAGCATATTATTTTTATAAAAGCAATATATCCTGTTTTATCAAATAGAAAAAAATCTAAAATTTGGGGAATGTTTTCTTTTAGGACAGCGAGATACATTGCTTGTCCTTAAATTTAAAAGCATAGTCTTTGAGAAATAAAAATCTTCCTCAGTCATTTCGACATGAGAATGTAAGTTAAGTTTGTAGGAAGGGAGGGAGGGAGGGCGAATCAAGATAATATAAAGCATAAAGCAAAGGCTTGACCCCAGCTCTTGATTGTTCCACTAATTAAAAGTATCTTCAAGATTAAAGTCTGGGAAAGCTATTTTTCCACCTTTCTAAAACCACAAATAAATAACATAAATATGTGTGGGCAAGCATTGTAGAAAGCAGCTTTAAGAGCAACGGACTATTGCAAAGTTTTTCCCAAGATAAAGGTTGTGAAAAGAAGATACTTGACAAAAAAAAATAAAGATGAAGAATGGGGAAAGCATTGAAAGAAGTGACTTATAACCATTTTTCACATTTTGTAGCATCCCCATATTCAGATGTTCAAAATTCAGATACTTGGAAACTGGTTACATTTATGAATATTATAGTGTCCTGGGTTCAAGAGATCATCTTTTGTAACCTTCTGAGAAGCAAAGTCAACGGGGAAGCCATGATTAACCATGCTACTAACTTAATATGTTACTAACTTAACAAACGTAGTGTCACTTTGGGTTTTACTAATTAGATTAATTTGTCGTTACAGAAATGGCTAGTTTATACTATTATGGAAAAGTAAAAAGTTGAGGCTCGATGTTAATGCCTTATTCTGCTGCAATTCTACTACTGTTCTACAGCTGGGGAACACTGCAGTCTTCACTGCCAAGCAACTGATTGGCGGTTGGATCGGCCTCCCGGAATACCACTGATCATTTGCTTCCGCCTGCTGCTACTGCCAATAGACGGCAGCAGCGATCCCCACCACCTAGAACAGCTAATTGCCAGTATTTCGGGACAACGATCCAACCACCAATCAGCTGCTCAGCAGCAAAAGTTTCAATGTTCCTCAGTGGAGGCAACAGACATGGAGAAGGCAGGCTGTTTGCTATTTACTGCAAGGATGCTAGCCAGATGAATACCAGATGGATGCTGGAAGGCAGAGGCAGATTTTTTTTCTTGTTTTTTTCCTCTAAAGCTAATGTGCGTCTTATAGTCTGGAGCGTCTTATAGTGCGAAAAATATGGTACATATTTTTTTTCTCTCTGATTGTAAACAAATAAGGCAGAAAGACAAAATGTTTGTAGAAGTTAAACTTAGTGATATCAACTTTATTTGAAATGTTAAATATAAGCTCCAATTAAAAGGGATAGCAGTGATTTTAAGTGATTGTCTAATTATGTTCTTACCCTTTTTACCTTTTTTAATATTTAAAAAAAGTTTAAAATATGTCATCATTTTCATCTTAAAATACAAGCCTACAATTCTATTCACAAACTACATTTAAGTCTTGAGGCTTGAAATCTAAGTACCCAGCTTGTTCAGTTATCAATCATAATCATACTTTTTTATTTTTCTTAAAAGTAAACCAGCTTTATTATCCATTATTACCCAACGATCAAGTTTGTATTGAACCATACTCTTTCTAATCTTCTCTACAACTTAAATACAAATGAGGCTCATTGGACCATATTCATGAATAATCTTCCGGACAATTTGACCTATCACAACAGTTTTTCAGTTCTTTTCTAATTCAGTTCAAAATGCTGGTTTTCAATGAAGTTCTGCATGGTAACTTTAGTTCCAATTGCTGTAGAACACCATATTTATTTTAATTTTCTGTTTGGAAGGTCACAATAGCGGTTTTATATTATTTATAAATTAACATTTTATATTGTCTAATCATGTATCTAACAACTGTAAATAAATCATTATCATCAAGAAAAGTATGAACAGCTTTTACTACTTGTAGCAGTGGTGTTCAAACTCAATTTCATTGCGGGCCACCTTAGGATTGTGTTTGATCTCGGGGTCTGGGTAGGCGTCACCAGGATGGACATGGCCAGCTTGACTTGTGTCGGGGGCAACTGTGGCCAGAATGCTCTGCCAGAGAAAACGGGCTCCCTATGTCAGTTTTCAGCTGTGACAGCTTCCTGCAACCCTCTGCCAGCGAAAACAGAGTTTGAGGGACACGCACGGCCCTCTCAAGCTCTGTTTTCACTGGTAGAGGCACCGTGGGTCAGATCTTTGCTGTTTTCAGCACAGCCACATGGGTCAGATCTAAGCACCCTGCAGGCCTTGGGTTTGACATCTCTGACCTCTAGCAATCTCTGTGCATACTCCAAATACCGAAAATATAGTCTCAATTTTAAAATCACCCTTGAATCAAAAATACATTTCTGTACTTTCCTCTGAATATCTCAAGGAGCAAATTCAGGGGTGGGATTCTACCTGGTTGGACTGGTTCTATAGAACCAGTTGTTATGCTTCTGCCCAGTTTAGAGAACCGGCAAATTGCCCCACTGGCTGGCTCTGCCCCGCCCTCCCCCTCACTCCTTACCTGGTATGCGCCCCATCAAACTTGCCTACTAACTTTTTCCTTTTTTTCCCCCTGACTATCAGCTGTTCTGCTGTGCCAGGAGATTTAGATTAGCCAGAAAGCAGGAAATCCTTGGATTTCTTGCTTTTTAGCTAATCTAAAAGCAGAACTGAACCTTCCTTAGGACTGAAGCTTCTATTTTTCAGTGCAGACTCAGTTAGCAGATTGCAGATAGCTAGATCTCTAAGTGAATCTGTGATTCCGTGAGTAACTCAATTTGCTTGCCTGCTTTGCCTGATTTTGGATAAAAGTTGCTCTTTTTTTAATAAAAAATTAAATATTTATATAAATATTTACAATATTTACATACAAGCCACGCCCAGCCAGTCACGTGACCACCAAGCCACGCCCAGTCAGCAAGCCACGCCCACCAGTCACATGACCACCAAGCCACACCCACAAATTAGGCCACGCCCACAGAACCGGTTAAGAAATTTGAATTCCACCCCTGAGCAAATTCCATAGTTTACTAATCTACCTGTAAATGAGAAAGAATCAAATAATAAAACAAGTCCATACAAAATGCAGAGCCACAACCCAGTTCATTATTGTGGACAACCATAATGTGTTATAGTTTAGCATATTTTATGAAAACAGTCCTATTCTTGCTAATGAGCCAATAGCTCACATTCATCTAATGAAATTAGAACCTAGCTTTTTTCAGGCCTCATCCAATCATGTAAGTATTATATATACAAAGCTTTGACTGAAAATTTATTTCCAAAAATAGTTCTGAATCTAAATGGAGCTCAGCATTCCTAGAAAGTGAAAACAATTGGTGAAAGCAATTTCATATCAAAGCGTTCCTAGCTTCTCAAAAGAAAAAAGACAATTTAAATAGGAATTTTGTGGCAAGCTAAATGGAGAAATAGATTGCAGGCATTTTATTTTTGTTATAAGAATATCATGCTTCAAGTAGATGAGAACGTTAAGCAAGTTTCTTGTTTCGCTTTTTGCATGCGTCTTATATGGAGAATGGGAAAGCGCTACATGTTTCCCACAATATCCATGTTTTATTTGTGTCCTGTATGTCCACATTTATGTGAGTTTCTATAAACATAACCTGATTATTTTAGTAAAATAGTTTTTTGTTCTGTTGTGTGATATCTAATATGCAATTAGTCAATATAGTATCTTGGTTATGTTTCTCTATGCACTTTAAACACTTGCATATATAACAAGTATATCTACCATAATGGTCATTTATAAAAGCCAATCATACCTTAAAATAATTGTAAAGATGTAGGTCTGGAACAACGTAAACCCAGGAAACTGACTGATGGCTTCTCTATGTAAGTCTACAACACAGGTCTGTCCCAACTATACTAATATGAAACTGCGAAGACTATATAACAGCAACCGGATCAAAGTTCACATATACTTAGATCAAAGTTCACATATACTTAGAGACAGATATATTCCTCCTTATTAATAGTAAAATATTAATAGTAAAAAAGCAAAGAACTATTCAAGGGAGATACATAGCTAATTTAAAAATAACAATTTTATGAATACTACAATAAAATGAAAGGCTACAATAAAGTTTAGATTCAGAATTAGTTTTTGTTCATGAAATGAGTTAAATGAGAAATTTATGGTACAGCCAAAGTTTTTTGCTGATGGAATGAAAGATATGGTTGCAAATTTACATTCTCTCAAAGCGTTCCCAAGAGATAATCTATTAATGGTGGTGCAGTGATCCAGTTCCAAAGGGAAAAAGGTGATTTGGAATACTGTGGATATAGTTAATGTAATACAGACCAAACCTCACTATAATTATATTATAAAGTCGTGATGGTCAGTAGTGGGATCCTATTTTAGTCGCTACCAGTTCAGTGGGTGATTGCACGTGCGCACCTAACACATACGCACCTAACGCACGTGCATCTAACAAGCCAATCAGCTGAGAGGATGAAGAAACAAAAAGCTAGGAGCGATCCCCCCACTCTCCCATGCAGTCTTTTATCGTCTCAGCTGATTGTGGAGGCTTTTTTCCCCTCCTCTCAGCTGATCAGAGGCTCCGGTAGTGATTTTTACTACTGGTTTGGTCAAACTGGGTCAAACCGGTAGCATAGCACCACTGGTGATGGCAAACCTATGGCACACGTGCCAGAGGTGGCAAGCAGAACCCTCTCAGTGGACACGTACACCATCACCAGCTGCTCTTCTGGTTTCTGGCACGCATGTGCATGCTGGCCAGCTGGACTTAGCAAGTGCTGGAGCACCAGAAAATAGCCCAAAAATGGCCAAAAAAGAGGCTCCGAAAATGATTAAAAAAACAGGCATGCGTGCACTGGCCAGCTAGTCTTTGGTTTTCCAGTGCTCTGATGTGCACATGCATGCATTCTGGTTTGGGCACTTGGTGCCAAAAAGCTTCACCATCACTGTAAAAGTATTAGTTAAGCAAATTATCATACAGGTAGAAA